GGAAATCAATTCAATACTTAATAATAACAGCATCTCACATTTCTACACCATTTACAATAAACAACCCTGTGAGGAGGTAGTGAAAACATTATTCTTCCTATTCTCCTTTTACAGATGAGGAAACTGGGAATTTAAGTCACTTGCCCGTGATCACAAGCAGGTTACTGGCAGAGCCAACATTTTACCCAGTCTTCTCTACCCCACCATAATGCTTCCCTTCCCTCCCTTCCCTTAGCCAGAGGTTGTTGGAGGAAATGACCATGACCTTCCACTCTCTGCTCCCTTTGCTGACAATATATTGGTCAACTCCATTCTCCTTTCTCTGCCATAGATTTTCCTTAGCCCAAGTTCTTAACCTCTTGCTACTCCCCTTCTTTTCTCTCTTCAATTTAGTTCAAGTCAGACCAAGTCAATTAAATTAATTTCAATTCAAAACATGTATTAAACCTACTCTATGCCAACAATTATCCAGGTGCTGTTAGGGATCCAAAGATGAATAATGTGGTCTCTGTGGTCAAGGGATTTACTAATTTAATCTAGTAAATATCTGAAGAAATATAATAGAAAGGAGAAGGTGAAAGGGGCAAGGCAGTGTTGGGGTAGTGAAAACCTGAGGTTTAGAGTCAGGGGATTTGGGTTGGAATCCTTGCTTGGCTTCAATAGATTTCCAGTTTACAATCCTATTATCCCAGAATAGGTACAAGCCAAGTTCCCTAGTGAGTAGGGGTTGTTTAATTCTTTTGTGCATCTCCTGCACCTCACACAGGGCCTGGCACAGAGTATGAGTTGAATAATGTTGTGTGATGTTAGTTAATTCATAGGAAGGAGAGATCACTTTTGGCTAGGGTAACAGAGATCTGCATGGAGGAGGTGGCTCCCCTATCACCTTCTGGATCACACTGGTCCAGAGTTATCCAGGAATTCAAGAAACCTAATAGAATCATCTGTTTCTCTTTCCTTCCAATTCAGAATTTCTCAGTCAGGTCTTTCTCCTCTTTCCTCACCCACTTCACCAAGACTATCTAGAAGTGATGAAAAGATATATTCTTTCAACTGAGTCTTCTTAACAGGCAGTGAACATTTTGCCAATGCCTTAAAATTGAAAAGGCTTGAGAAAATTTCAGGAGGACTTTAGGAAGGGGGAAAGGGATTCTCTTTCTTGAGTAACTTCTTGGGGAAAAAATGAAAGAGCAGCTGGAGTTAGTTTGTAATTGGAGTGAAGAGGTGGGAGAAACTTGTGCAAGGGGAAATCTTTTGGATTGTGGAGAGGAAGGGCTGTGAGTAGGAAAGGGAAGTTTATTTGAAAGTCTTTTATGATTTATGGGAAGGCTGAGCTTCCCCTGTGGAAACAGCTGAGTCTTCCCTTTTCCTTCCTCAGATAAGAGTCTTGGTTGAGAAGGGACCTGGCCATTCTAGTTCTTCCTCCTCAGGGTCTCATACATAACAGATCCATAGAGTTACATCATTCTCCCCTTTCTAGATCTGCACCATGGGACACCCCAGGAGTCTGTGAATACACACAGTCTCTGAGCTCACCTTCTAGGGCTATCATGGAGAAGGTGGTTCTCCCTTAAGTCCCTTTTCAGAGTTTCATAATCCTATCCCCAATCCCTTTGCAGAGACATCAGGGAATATGAGGCACTTCACTAAACTAAGTTTAAGAGATTAAAGTACTACAAATCTAGATCTGAAAGTGATCTTGGAGGTCATCCAAGCCCTTCATCTCAGGGAACATGAGGAGAAAGAAGGGGGAAACGATCTGATCTGGTTCTCTCCTCATTCCCCACCCACTTCACCAAGTTGGGTTTGAGAGATTAAAAATATTATAAATCTCGATCTGGAAGTTATCTTGGAGGTCATGTAAACCCTTCATTCTAAAGATGAGGTAACTAAGATGCAGAGAGGTTCATGGACTTTTCCAAGCTCACACAGGTGAGAGCCAGATTCAAACTTCAATCCTATGACTCTAAGCACAGTGCTCTTTGCACAGGATGAATCATTTCTCAGTGGAGTCCTCTCATAGGACCATGTTACTGGTGCTTTACAGTTCAAAATTCGTGGGAAGTGGCAAGAGGCAGTACTGGGAGGGAAAGAGGACCTCTCTTCTTTGAATACCTTCAACTTGAACTTGAACTTGAAATGAACTATCCCCATCAAGTGAAGGCAGCTGTAGTAGTATTGGGTAGCAGCAAAGTAGAGGAGTCTTCGAGGGAAAACACTTCTTTTTGAGGAGTAGGGGAAATGACCTCTGTGCAGGAGGGAAAAGGAAACGTCTTTGAAGGCCTTTGATATTTTTTGGGAGGGACCATCCTCCAGTGAAACAGCTGAATTTCTCTATTTCCTTCCACAGATAACAGGCATTGGCTGGGAGGGAATCCATAAATCATGGCTTTTCCTTCTCTCCATCTCCCATTTCCAATGGACAGAATCACAGAAGCATAGGCTCTCAGATTTGGAAAAGGACCTCAGAACCCATACAATCCAAGCTGTAACTTTACAGGAATCCCTGCTTATAGCATACCTGACAGGTGATGACTGAGCTTTCTGAAGACCGAGAGCAAGGGAAGAGCCCGTCATCTCCTGAGGCAGCCTGTCCTATTTTTGGATAGCCCTGTCTGGAGGTATCTTCTTGCACCCAATCTGAAATTTCCTCTTTGCAACTTCTGCTCATCATTTATAATTCTGACCTCTGGGGCTAAGCAGAGTGAGTCTGACACATGACAACCCTTTAAATTTTCTCAAAAAAACCCACTCTTGGAAGAGCAGCTATTGTCAGGGCCTAGGTTCTCTTATCCATAAAAACAAACTAGGGTACTTCTTAAGTATCACAGTGCTATTGAAAAATCACTGCACCAGAAGTCAGAGGCCCTTCAGATCCTCCATCTGCTACCTGTGAGACCTTGGACAAATCTTATTACCTCCCTAGGCCTTGGTTTCCTCATCTGTAAAATGAGTTGGTTGAACTAGGTGATTTCTAAGGTTTCTTGAGGCTGTTAATGAATGCTTCTGTGGCCTGTGTCTCTCGTAAGTCTTTTCTTTTCCAAGCTGATAATTGTTAGTTCCTTCAAGATGTCCTTCTCTTTGGCATTTTATCCATGTCCTTAACCTATTCAGGTTTCCCTTTTCTGGATGCTCTTTGGTTTATCGATGTCCTTCTTAAAATCGGGTGCCCAGAACTGGGAAAAAATGCTCTGGACATGATCCAGACCACCTCAGAACAGTGGAACACTTTGGTCTGGATTGGTGATTTTAACAATATAAGACACTCACCAAGTGGATCTCCTTCAAATGATGTAATAGCATTTATATAGCCTTTTAATGTTTGCAAATCTCTTTGCAAATACTTTATTCTATCCTGCAACCTATTGATTATTTACAGTCTTAGAGTTGGCTGGTGTAGAGAGATTATTTAACTTGTCCAGGGTCACACAGTCCTTGACAGAGGTGTTTTGAGCCCAGGTGCTCCTGACTCTAAGACCCTATGACCATCTCAGTGAACTCATTGGTCTGAATTTTTTCCATTCTCTAGCTATGCAAGGAGTCTGTATACGTAACACTTGGGCTCACATATTACATGTACTTCTTGTCCCAGGTCAGGTGCACACCCTATGTCCTGCTCTTGTCCTTGCCCCTCCCCTCTAGTCCCTGGAAAACAAATTACAGAAAAGATTTTTCCATCAACTCTCACCTAGTTCTATGGTCACAAATGAACGGGGAGGAGCCACTGGCTACCTGAGGGTGGAGATATGGAGGGACACTCTCAGGTAGCTCTGTGGTGACAGGAATCAATGGATACACAAGGAGAAAGGTTGAGACAGAGACAGAGAAGGAAATTGACCTATGAAGCTATCTATCTCCCCAGCTCATTTCTATTGTTATTTGCAGTTTATAGTTTTTAGATGGGATTAAGAAGGGTTAGCCTTAGAATAGGGGGTCCTTGACCAGGATTATCATGTGAAAATATAATTGGTCAAAACCAAAGTCTGGCAGAATCTAGTCTCCATTGACCTCAGCACATCCCCTCAGTTCCCACATCCTAAATCTTTCTTCCAGAAATAAGAGAAACAGTATACTAACACCCTGATGGGAAAAGATCAAAGGTAGCACAGGTGAAGAGGAAGAACACACCAAGGGGCTTGGGGTTGCAATCCACTCAAGACTTGTCTTCTGGTTCTTTAAAAGACCCAGCCCCCAAGTCCCCCTAATTTCTGAGGGAAGAAGCTTACTAAAGAATCAAAAAAGAAAAATCCAGACCTAATGACTCCTTTCTACCAGTCTGACAGAAGACCCACAATTCAGGTCTATTTTAAACCATTAAAATACATTTCATTTCACAAAATTGAGACCCAGGAATGGTCAAAGTTGTTACTATGGTGTAGAATCATGGTTCTAAGTTATTGTAAGAGGCCCATCTTATTATGAGCAAATGTTCGATACTGAATTGTCTTGCACACATTTGCATTAATGTCCTTATTGTGAACGCAAAAAGATTCAGTTTTTTTGTCATTATCTCAACCACCATAATTACATAAATATTATGTAGTGGTCTAAAATTGGAAACCTCATTCTGATTTCTCAGAAATCATTCTCATATTTAAAATGGTTCAGAACCATTGGCAAAGAGAATGGTTCAAAGTAGTACTAACAAAAACACTTGGCCCTTCCTTTTCGCAAACAATTATAAGGGTATTTGTTGATTTGTAGCTGAACAACATAGCTTTTAATTTTTAAAAAAGTTAGTACTGTATATAGATAGGGTCACCCATACTTTCAAACCCGCTACTCAATTATTCCAGTCAATAGCTGGGACAATCTCCAGAACAGTGTTTAAAGATTGGAGTATAGAAACCAAATACTCCAAATACTTTTTTTTTTAATTCCTCCAAAAAACTTCGACCCAAGGAAAACGGAAAACTTCTATGTTGAAAAATTTTTATTTTTATTTAAAAAAAAAAAGACCTCCTCCAAGGAGTAGAAAATATCTGATAAAAAGTACAAAATATAAATTTTAACATACAAAAAGATACATATTTTAAAAAACCAAACCAAAACCACTTTCAGTCCATTTTCTAGTTGTACAGTTCACAGATAAGAATGAGACTCAGTGCTTTGACACAAGACAGTAGAGAAAGTGCCGATTGCTTAGGTTGATTCATTAAGTGCCGAGGGCTAAGGGGAGAAAGAAGTTGTTCAAAACTCCTCAACACTGGGAGTGTGTTCAGAGGTGGGAAACCCGCCCGATTCTGATTTGCTTCCTAAGAGGTTATTTGGCAGTATGATCCCAGCTTTGGAGTGTTTTTGGTAGTCTCTTTTTTCAGTTTGCTGTGCTGGAACTGGAAGGACCCTCCCTAATAACTACCATTATCAGTATTATTCAGTCTGCCCTCAGGAAGCTACTGGTAATAACAAGAATCATCATTTTATTGTTATCATTAATTTTCCCTTACACACCCCAGCAGACCATTTTAGTTGAATGCTTAGGGACTAGGAGGAAAATTCCCAACAGAAAACAAGATAATAAAAGTGCTAAGAACAATACTTCAGAATGAACTCGAAGGGAGTTTTGAAGATATTTTGTGCTCTCCCCCTCTTACCAACACTGAATCCAAATTCTTAAGAAAACCTCATAAGAGGAAGAACAAAGTGCTTAGCCACAGGCTTTCACCAGCCTCCCTCCTCAAGGGGTCTGTTTGCCTTTGCATTGAAACAAGGATAATGTGTCATCTGAGAAGTATAGTGTAGATCACTTCCCTTTCTCATCAGGAAATATTTCTACCAGAACAGGGAGCACCTTTAAACATACATTACAGTGGATACGTGGGAAGGGCTACACTGATTTCAGGAAGACTCTTCCCACCAAAATTTTGGCCATTATTTCTATAAAATCTTTCCCAGATTATTCAATCGCTTTTGCCTGGCATGGCACAAAAGCAGGTTCCCAGAAGCCAACTTTTTGTGATTGTAATCAATACCCCACCCTCCCCAGAGTTCCTGGGAAGACCAATCTAGAGGCCATCCCAACCCTGATCCAAACTACTGAAAACCCCTCATAGTACAGGAGAATTCTGAGGAAACAGGTCACAACAGAGTCCAAACCTCCCACAAACCAGCAAACACCTTCTAGGACACAACAGCAAGACTGGCTGAGAGAGTGGATGCACTTTGGCATCCGTTTTAGGAGATGACTGCCTGCTGATCTCCTAACATAAGGGAGACAGAGGTTAAAGTGAACCCATCCCCAATGGTGGGCGGAGACTGGTCATGCCGCTGAAAAAGCAGTCCAGGAGAGACAGAAAGAAACAGGTAGATAAACAGCTGCTTCTCTTCTTTGGTACATTCATTGCACGTTGTTGTTGACAATACAGGGATCCACCTGGAAGGGGCAAAAGGAAAGGTGGTTTTAGATTTAGAAGGTGGGAGGGAAGTGGGGGAGTCAGAAGAATATTTAAGTTAGGAGCATCCCTCCCCACCCTCATTCAATAAGGGTAATAATTCTCACCTCAGTGTAAGTGGGTGGAGGCATAAACTTGAACTCGGATGCATACATAAAGATGGGGCTGTCCAGAGAGCTATCATCAAGGAGAGGAGTGGTAGGGCTCTCTAGCCTGTGATCTTCAGGAATAATATCCATGTAGCAAGGAGGTGCTGCAGAGAGAAAATGGACACAATCAACAACCCAGCCAACCTACTTCTGATTTCCAGGGAATCTTTAATGGGAAAAGGACAGGGTGGGGGTGAAGGGGAAGACTACTTTGGCTCACCTTCTGGGGTGTCAGGGATATTTAGATCCACCCAACTCATTTCAGAGCTGGTTCGGCTAGCCATGCTGGATGTCCGACTACTGAGTCCTGACTTGCTGCCAATGACTAGAGGCAGGTCAAGGATGACTTTCTTAGATCCAGGGACACTGACATAGATCTACAGGGAAAAGAAAAATTGTTTCTGTTATACCAGAGAGCCATGACAATGCAATACTGCTTGCTTCAAAGACTGATTCACCCTAATCCCAGAGAGAGCCTCACTCACTCACCAATAATGAGTATTCAACACGAAGGATGTTGCAGCCGAGGATGGAGGGTTTAATCTTCTGTACACGAAGGCTTTTGCCACGCCATGATTCGCAGGTGCCAGAAATGATATGGTTGCCTCGAACAGAAGACAGCTTTTGGGTCAACACCTTGGTCTGGCCATTGGCAAGGTAAGTGTGGCGGGCAACAATAGCAGCCTTGGGCACAACAATTCGGGAACACGTGTTCTCAAAGTCAGCATTGATGGAGATTTCATCACCTGACAAAATAAATGATTTTTGTTATTAAAGATTGTATAGTTGATGATTTATAGTCCACAACCCTTCTCCAACTCTATGATACCTGCCTCTCCCAAGCCCAGATTTCTCTTACCTTCGCAAAATCCTTTGCGGTCAATCCGGGCAGAGACAGATACCTTCCCATCAGGAATAAACAGGCAAGAAACTTTTTCCTCCTTCTTAGCAGACACAGGTGCCTGAATAGGATAAAATAAAAGAAATCTTTGTTAAAGTTCCTGAGAAGTGCCAAGTAAAGATGGCTCCTGCTTTTGATTATGAGGACCTCTATCTCCTGCAGGACTCTAGTCCAATATTATGTAATATAAGATAAGACTCGTCTTATCATTCCCTACTATAATTATATTCTCCTCTAAGCTCTGCTTGAACATTTCTTTGACAATGGTCATGATAACAAGGTTTTGTAGGATGTAGTGAGACTATTGCTCCCTGCTTTCCTTTAAGAGTTAACTTTTTATCCCCTTTCATTTTAAGGTAAAGACCAGATTCTTATTTTCAGTATAAACCTTGAGGTAGGGTCCTGCCTCTTAAGATCTCCCACAACCCAGAACTTAAGCCTATGGGGTAAGCTTACCATCAAATCAGGAGTGTTGACATCTACTAGGTCCATCACCTCAAAGTGCTTCTTGGTTTCTTGAGTTGGCTGTCTGGGGCGGTCTAGGAAAGCCTTTACCCAATAGTCTACGGAGCCATACTTCCCCTTGAATGAGGTTCCCAGAGGCCTATCGTGGAATAAAGGGAACAATTCCTTTTAGATTACTCATCAAGAAACAGGATGCTTAAGGGAAGGGAGGTTTTAAAGAAGAGAACGGTGTAGCTAACACCTACCCTTGAGGAAGTTCAAAGCCAAACTTGTACACATACTTGTTTCCAGGTCTCAGAATCACAGACTCATCATTAGCTTCAGGGAGAGAAGGAAAAAAAAAATCCACCATTAGAATTACTAAATCTTATTTTAAATGCAGAAATGACTAAACAGTGGCTACATTTTCTGAAACTAACCATGGCACTTCAATCTCCCAAAGGGAAAGAAGGTTAATAATTTTGGTCTGGGTCAAGAAGCCCAAAGCCTTGAGCTCCGACCCTCAAACCAAAGGGAACTATGACTATTTTCATCTCTAATATTTAAGTTTTAGTTAAGCACCCTCCCCCGTTCAAAGTATCACAGCACACAGCAGGCTGGGGATAATACCCATTTTGCCTGATGCAAGGACAAAGATTCAGCCCTCTCCCACCAAGCTAATGAATGGTCTCCCCCAAGGCTCCCTTTCTTAACAGCTGGGGCTCGGCTGCTTCCCCCGCCGCGCCCCAGCTCTGGAGGAGGGCGAGTCCCCTTACCTGGGGGCTGGTCTTCCAGGAGGAGCGTGTCCTCGTAACGCAGGTACTCCAACACCTGCTTGCACTGCTGGGAGCCCTGCAGCCACAGGACTTTGGCCACTCCGAAAGCCAGGATCCTCACGGCCTTGACCCGGGTCACCTCGCACACCTCCACCTCCACCCGGCCGGCCACCTTCTCCCCACTGCAGTAGACCTTGTCGGGGTCGCTGAAGACCACCTCGAAAGACTTGGTTTTCTTGAACATCACCATAGCTGGGGCTTGGTTTTCTCGGACAAGGGAGACAACGAATGGGTCTCTCTCGAGTGTCAAACCTTTTTGGTTAAGTGGAGAATATTTCGTTCTCCCTGGTCTGCGCGAGTTTGTTGGCTTACGGGCTTGCCAATTTTGTTCTAAGAAGTCTAAGAGCCCCTTCTCCAAAATCAGCCTTTACTAACTTTTAAAAAGTAGAAAAGATAGAAAATGTAAGGCTTCTCGCTAAAGCAAAGAGACTTCCCAAGAGAAAGAAAGCCTTTCTGTCTCGGGCCAAAAGTAGCTTTGAGGAAACCCCCTCCCCAAAATCTCGGAGACCGAGAAAACACAGGGCAGCCCGCAGAACTCTAAGAACTGACTCAACGAACAGGCGGAAACAGCCCTATATAGGGCTCTGGCTGTCTGGGCCACGCGAGGGCCTACGAGGTGGCTCGTGCTGTCCTCGTGCACAATCTTCCCATTGGCTGCCTTTCCCTTGTTTACCGGGGATACCGCCAATCAGAATGCGGCCTGGAGCGCGTGGACACAGTGTGCCTCTGGCGGGGAAACGGTTGTTGTGCTCGATTTCCTCCGAGGAAGGAGGGGGCGGAGGGGGTTCTTGAACGACGTCCCTTGAGACAAATGAAAGGAGGGCTAGGTTTTTGCCCTAAGCCTATCAGCGTTCTGATGGAAGTCGGAGGGCGGGTGTTGATGTCAGAGATTGGCGTTTTGGGGTGAAAGGGGAAAAGTGTCTCAGGGGGCATTGTATGCCTGACTTCAGTACTTGAGAATGATTTTGGGATAGCCAAACCTTTCTCAGGCTCCTCAAGTCCCAAGTTATTTGCTATTGTCTCCTGTCTCGAAATTTAAGTGACTTTCATGAAAGGCATTCCCATAGAAACTCTAGAAAGTTCTCAATTAAATAGAGAATTGAAGGTTGGGGATTAGGGATGGGAGGGGGGGAGAATTAATTTTTCAGTCAAACCCTCCCAAGAAAATTGCCTTTTTTTCTTAGAGGAAAAAAAAGAGGGGGTGTCACTGGTGTTTGTCAACCTTCTCTTCAATCTGGATCCCCAAATTGGAAGTTGTAGGAGTGAGTTTTCTCACTCCACTTTCCCTCACTGCCTTATTCACTCCTGGCTTCCAAGGAGTCTGAATTTCTGCCTCATACTGATCATTTCCCTTTCTCACCTTTTCTCTTTTCTTCCTGCCCACCTCCCCCTCCCCTCTTCAACCACCCTGTTCTTTTTGGAACGGAAATAAGAAGGGTGTGTTTACATCCTGCTCTGCTTATCCCCTTCATCTCTTCATCTTCTTTCCCTGTAGAGCAGGGGACACATTGTTTATGCACCCCATGTACCTCATCACCCCTTTGAGGAATACAGTGATTATATTGTGCATATCTTAAAGCATCTGCTTAACCAGTCCTTCATTTCCTGCTTTACACCTTACAAAACCATAGGATACTCCACCCTTCTTAGTGCTCCCCATCTATAATTCCTGACTGAGCTCTCTCTGAGCCAGCTGGCACTCTCTGTTCTCCACACCCTCTCCCGCAGCCCTAAAAAATACCCCTCAAAATCATGGAGAAAAGCTTGTTTTTGACCAGGTCAATGTCTCAGCTCATGGTCGGAAGATAAGCACAACAGAGTATTTTGTTTTTAAATATGTTTGAGTATTATTACTTTTTCCAAAAGTCTTTAGAAAATGAAGAAATGAAGAGAGGAGGAAGCAGGGTTTCGAAGTCTCCAGAAGGTCTAGCTAATATCCTATTGTGTACTATGCTTTCAGGAGCCTTAATTTGGATCCCTGTCAGATGGGTTTTTCCCTTTCCCTCCCTGAGTGAGTTGGCCATAAAATCTTAGGAGATGACTATTAAAAATTAGTCCTACTAAGGCCAAAAATCCTGTTATAATTAGAACTTTTATTTTTAGATGCTGTGCATCTTACCTTTCTTTCTTTGGCTCCCTGTCTTATCTATTTGTGGATATTTAAAAATTTGCTTCAGTCCTCCTAGTGAAAAAAGGATGGTGATATCCAAAAGCTTGAGAACATATACATGGGCAGTAGAATGAATGGAACCCCACTCCCTCCACTATTTTTTTCGGTGACATTAAGGACTTTCTTCCTCTCGCACCCCAACAATGATAACACCCTCAGGCTAGCAAATTACAATCCAACATGAGAAAGTTCCAGGATGAGGTTTGATGACTCAATTGGTAAGAAAGAACAGAATTAGCCCTGGGTACATCTCGATCTCAGTGGGTGTGTGGGTTAGAAGTAGCACTGTGTTGTACAGTTACCTAACAAAGTATGGGGTGTTTGTGTCAGTGAAGAGCATTGATTGAGCTCCCAGGCCATGTAGAATCTTAGAATGATGTTTCACAGTCCTTAACTCTGAGAGATTTGCTCTTTGATAGTAGAGAATGGACAAAAAGGGAGGGGGGAACAACATAAAAACTCATAAAATACACCAGATTTATGTTTAATTATTGTGCACACGAGTATTGAAGGTAAAGAAGGGATACAGAGTAATTGAAGCTGTGGTATTAATTATAGACTTCTTGGAGAAGGTTAAACACTGGTATTTACCTGGCCATAACCATGAAATGCCAAATCCAACTCTTTTTCCATGTCTTACAGTAAATCTCTCTTGTCCTGGGTATCTTTCTTACTGTGTTTTTCTCTTACTGCCTCTGTTTGCAGAACTGAGTGCTATGGACATGCTCCCTGTTATGCCAAGCTTCCCTAGAATGTTAAAAAACTATTTAGCTTTGGCAGTAATAGCTTGCCAGGGCCTTCGGCCAAGATATTTTCTGAAATGGTACCCTCAACAACAGGGTTGTTTACGACCTTTCTCCCGATAACCTGCTAAAAAAATAAAATCAGCCTCCAGAATCCCCCCCCCCCTTAGTTCCTGGGTTGGGGAAAGAGGAAGTTCTGTGAATTCCTTTTCCCCAAAAAGTGCATTAAGGGTACAGGGAAGGGGTAAAGTTGGGAGGGGCTGTACAGTAGCGGTAGGTACAAGAACTTTGCATATTAGGTCACTTTTCTCTTTTCACCCCTCCTCCTCCCTTTTATTTCTTCACTTGAGTCAGTGGGAAACTAAAAAGTGATTTTTGATTGTTTGCTTTTCTTTAGGTGAGGTGTTGAATACAAGCCAAATATTTTAAGGAATAAGGAATAAGGTGTCCTCACTGACTAGTCTGTTGTCAGACACAGACAATTTATAAGCTGCCCTGTTCAACCTAAGGCCTTGACCTTAAGGGTTTGAGAAATCTGGTATCCTCATCCTAAGAGCTCATTGCTCCAATTTGCACCCCACCACTCTAACCGTAACTGTGACTCCCAATGTCCATAACTTCCCTCTGTTGTTCCTCATTTAATTCCCCCTCCCTTTTATAGGGAATTTCAATGTAGGAGAAAATTGGAGGTCTGGATAAAAGAGAGGGCATCTCATAATCATGAAGATTGCCCTTGGTGGTAGTAGTAGAATTAAGGATACTTGTGAAACAGGATTGAATTTGGAAGAATTTTTTTTCTAGTTTAGACTTAATAAAAAAGTCCTCTATCAGTGCTTAGTGAGAGCAGTGAGTATATGACCATAGGATCGTACATTTAGAACAGGGAAATAATTCAAAAGACAGCATTCTTTTTGTTCACTATTCCGTACAGAGGGATATGCCACAAGTAGTTCAGGTCCTCATTATTTCTTAACTAGAATATTGTCATAGTCTCCTACTTGCTTGCCCCTTCTCTAATTTATCTTTGAAACTACTGTCAAAATAATCTCCCTTGTGTATAGATGCTATTCTTTTGCTCAAAAACCTTTAGATGATCCCATTGTTTATTGGATAAAATACAAGCTTCTCATCCTGGCATTGAAGACCCCAACAGCATCATCACATACTACACCCCCATGCACTTTATATTCTAGCCAAAGTGGATTACGCAGCGATTCTCAGCCTTGTCATGTCCTACCTTCCCCGCCTTTGTATATGATAGTCCTCCAAAAAAACCTCCCTTTTTTTTTTGAACCTAGCCTCTCTGAAGAGTGTCTCTATTATTAACACGTCCTTTGCTTGGTCTTGGCAACCCTGTGCTTTTCTGGAAATATATATGTGCTATGTTTATATAACCAACATCCTCTAGCCATTTTGTAACACCAGAGATGAGAAAACCACTTCGCCCAATAAAACTCATAACTTTCACCTGCACCGTTAAGGGGCCCTGGGTGTATTCCTTCCCCAGTTCTGGTTTGTCAGTGTCCTAGAGCTGCGCTGGTTGTATCCATCCCCTGTTGCTCTTGGCTGCCTCTAAGTGTCTCTTTACCCCTTTCTTTGTATGAGTCAAAATGTAGTGTAATAAAGTTCTATTGCTAAGTATTTACTGTCTTATTCTTTTGTGAAATCTTGAAGATCTCAAGCTACTATAGCACTAGGACAGTATATGCACCTGAGGCAGTGAAAAGAACATTGGATTTGACATTCAAAATCCTTCACAAGCTGGCCCCACCTATCTTTTCCAACCTCTTACACTTTATACCCCCACACCCTTCCATTCAGTGGTTTCTTTGCTGTTTCTCCTACAAGACACTCTATCTCTCCAGTTGAGCATTTTCACTGGCGATATCCCCCATGCCTGGAAATCTTTCCTTCCTCATCTCTGCCTCCTGGTTTCCTTCAAGTGTTAGTTGAAATCTTACCTTTTACAAGAAGCCGTTCCTCATTCTCTTTAGTCCAAATTTCCAAATTGTCTAGCCCAGTAGACTGCCAACTTGTTGAAAGCAGAGACTGTTTTTTTGCTTTTCTTTTTATCCCCAGAACTTAACTCAGTGCCTGGCACATAGTAAACACTTAATAAATGCTTGTTGACTGACTGACTGATTCTTCAAGCACTAAATAAAAGATCTTATAAAAAGGAAATCGGATCTGACTGGTTTCCTCACACCTGCAATGGTTTCCCCTCACAACTTTGTTTATTGAAATCCTTTCCTTCTTTCAAGGTGCTTAATAAATGATTGGTGATAGATTAGTTTCCGGTCAATTACCAAAGCCTGCTGACTCCATCTCTAAAATTCACAAACAGCTCTCTATTTTCACTGTCAAATGTTCTAGTTTTCAAAAAAGGAAAGAAAATGGTGCCTGCAAACTATAAGGGAGTAACCTCGACTTAATTTTGGGCAAAACTTCAGAGCAAAGTGAAGGGTTGGTCTGTGAACATCTAGAAAAAGAAGCATTGATCTCTAAGAGCATCAAAGACAAATCATACTGATGGGGTTGGGATCTGGGCCCCAGAAAGGAAAAACCCTGGACTTGCCCACTTGGCCAAATCTCTGGCGTTCCCCTGAGGCTATAATCCCATCAACTGGCCTTTCATTGTGGCGA